AGCACCCACATGGCAGCTCACAACTGTCTGGAACTCCTGTTCCAGGGAATGTAGCATCCTCACACAGACATCAGTACACAAACAATAAAAATTATTTTAACAAAATGTAGACTGGGCTGTCTCTGGCATCTGCTGCCCTCTGTGAACAGAGTGCCTTGGGTTGGGTGAGCTAAAATTCCACACATGGGCTTGCTGGTGTTCCTGGGCACATTGCCTGAAGTTCTCATCAAGATAGTTGTCTCTTCCTCTAGGCTGCCTCTCAAGCATCCCGGGTCAGCAAACTGCAAAGAGAGACGGCCACAAAGGGCGTCCACAGCTGGGATCCTGCGGTGCTGCGGCTGCCTCCTCCCAAGTTCCTGTAGCAGCCCCACGTGGCCTCCGGCCAAAACCCAAGACTGTATCTGAGCTGCTTCGTGAAAAACGGCTCCGTGAGTCCCGTGCCAAGAAGGCCACTCAGGCCCTCACCGCCATCAATAGCCAGTTGCTGATATCCTCACCTGTGATCCTCCAGCCCCCTCTGCTGCCAGCCCCCCAGGGTTCCCCCGTAGCAGGCCCTGCAACATCCAGTGTAGAACTTGCTGTTCCTGTGGCCCCAGTGATGGTCAGTTCAAGTCCTTCTGGCTCCTGGCAGGTGGCTGGGATCTCAGCCACAGACAAGCAACCCCCCACCCTGCAAACTGTTCCCCAAAATCCTTCCCACAAAGGGACCCAGATTGCAGCCCCTGCTGCTTTTAGGAGCCTGGCCCCAGCTCCCATGCAGGTCCCCACAAACTGCCCCCCAAGTACTCTTGGACAGTCTCAGGCTTCTGCCACATCCCAGAAACAGGGCCCGCCCCTTCTCCCAGCAGCCCCCAGCCCCACACAGCTACCTGTACAGCCCCTCAGTCTACCACCAGTTCTTGGCCCACAGGCAAGTGGGCAGCCCCTGGCAGCCAAGGCCAGCCTGCCTGTCAACTGGGTACTCACAACTCAGAAGCTGCTCTCTGTCCCAGTACCAGCTGTGGTGGGCCTCCCCCAGTCAGTGATGGCCCCTGAGACTGTAGGACCACCAACAAAACAGCTACCTTCCCCTGCCATGACTCCTGCTTGCCAGGGACAGCTTCCAGTCAGTGCAGACACAGAGCCCAAAGGTCCTCAGGGCCACGAAACACCACCCACATCTGGACACGAAAAGAAGACCCTGAACCTAAGTCTGCTTTCCCAGGAGAGTGAGGCAGCGACCCTGGCGTGGCTGAAAGGCTGCCAAGGCGCCTGTGTGCCCCCACTGTGGAGCAGGATGCCCTATCAGCCCCCTTCACTGTGCAGCTTGCGAGCATTGTCCAGCCTCCTCCTCCATAAAAAGGACTTGGAGCAAAAGGCTTCTTCACTGGTGGCCAGCCAGGCAGCTGGGCCCCAAACTGAGCCCTAGCCTGGAGCCCTACAGACTTCCTTGGAACTGGTACAGAGGCAATTCCGGGACAACCCAGCCTACCTCCTGCTGAAGACACGTTTCCTGGCTATCTTCTCCCTTCCCGCTCTCCTGGCCACTCTGCCTCCCAACAGCGTCCCTACCACACTGTCAGCAGCCATGGCTGTTGGTTCTGAAAGTGACAGTGAAGACCTTGGTGACCTGGAACTCAAGGACAGAGCCTCGCAGTTGGACTGTCCCACCTGTAGAGTACAAGCGGACCCAGCAGCCACAGCCGCCGTACAGGTAAGGATGCTGGGGCAGACAGACGGGTCCTGCAGTACCTTGCCCGCCTGTGTGTGTCTGGCTTGCTGGGAGTGTTAAGCTGGGCAGGTGGAAGTTGTGCAAGGGAGCATTCTGTGGGTTTCTGAAGGAGGAGGAAGCTCGTCCAGTCTGCCCGGTTGGGAACGGGCTTAGCAGAAGCTGCCTCTCCTGGGCTGGCTATAGCAGAAAAGGGAGACAGCCTTCTACTGTGACAGCCCCACCCCACGCACATACCACACACCCAAACTCAAGGTAGAGAGGCAGGCCTGACACGTGACACATGGGGTGGGCTGTGGGTACAGTGGAGGTGAGAGTTGCCCTTGTTTGTGCTCTCGTGGGTACAGAGTTCCTCCCAGGCATCTCTTGCTCACAGAGCTGGGCCTGGCAAGACGGTCTGTTTCCCATAGGACCCATTTCCTGCCCTTCCTGGCTACTCCCAGGGAGCCCTACCCAGCCTCTTCCCCGCAAGGGTTAGACCTGTAGAACCTTCACGCAGCTGTCGCTCCATACCTGGTCATGCTACCTTAGTTCCAAGGGGACCTGGGAATCTGTCTCCTTTGGTCAGCACCTCAGAGCAGGAGAGTGGTTACCATGGGATTGCCTAATGGTTGGAGACCCTATCCGAGGAACAGAACTGCAGAAAGCTGGGACCTAGCTGCTCCCATGTATCTGTCCTGGGGAAGCATATGCTAGCAACTGCCTGTCCCCGATGTTCGGGCTGGTGGCAGTGGGGGTTGTCCTCCCTTCCCCATTCCCTGCCTGTTCTGGCTGTCATCACTCTTGTCTTCCCTGGCCTGGCTTTTTATTATTTCAGAGAGCTCCAGGTTCTGGTGAGGACTCTGCCCCCTCCCACCTGAGTGCTTCTGATGACCTTGATGTGCTTAGAACACGGCACGCTTGCCATTCACGGACACGGAGGCTGCTGTGAGCCACAAGGTGAGTCCCTATGGAGCCTGCCACACTGCCACCAGGAAGACGCAGAATCCAGAGTATGGGCTCCCTCAGCCTTCCACTGAGCTGAGGCACAGATAGCGCTATCAAGTCTGAAGGCTGGACTTATGCGGGAAGGGCAGGCTTCTACCCAAAGCCCCATGTTGCTCAGTGTGCCACAAGGCCTTGGCACTACTCCCTCTGCCTGGGTTTTGTCCCCTCCCTGGGGTGTCAGCTCCTCAGAGCATCCTCTCTGACAGCTTGTCTTGCCCTGAGTCTCAGCTACTCCCCACATGCAGCCCATCAGCATGGTCACCTGCTTGTGGTCTCTGATCACAGACTCCAGGCTGTACCTTGCTTTCATTGCTGAGTCCCTGGGTTCAGGCCAGGGTAAGCACGGAAGGCATTGGAACTGTGAGGGGCGGGAATCTAGGATGTTCTCATTGGCTTGTGAAGCCACCATAAGTTGTGCTGCTTGTCCTCAGGCAGTACCACCTGTGGGTCTGTCCCGGAGCCTGGGGCCTGCTGCGGTGAGAGCACTGTCAAGAGTATCCCTGTGTTTCAGCACAAGGACTCAAGGGGCCAGAAACCCACTCTTACACCAGGCAAGAGGCAGGGCCTAGGCCTGACCAGAAGTCCACAATCATCTGCGAGAGGAAGCGGAGGCCAGGAAGCTGCAGCCCTGCAGAGGAACCTGTCTGCAGCCAGCAACAGGGACAACAGTAACCGTATGATCACAGGCTTAACTGCTAACAAATGCAAATCCATGTATTTGAAGAAATAAAGTAAATGTCTATTTTTTTACTTTAAAGCAACACATAGCCTTTTGTGGTTTTTGTCATCTAGGGCTGGGTTCCCACCAGCATCTAGGGATGTGGTCACCTGCCAGTTCTGAGACTCCCACACCCTTGGCTGCCCATGCAGCCCCTGCACCCAGTACTTTTCCAGAGAGCAGGGAGAATGGAGAAACAGCTCTTCTTCCATTTCATGAAAATGTGTCAGCTGGCCTATACCTCCCAAGGTGGGGTTTCTAGAACCAGCATCTGCCACAACAGCAACTCCCCCTCATGCTGCTAGGCATGTCTTTGGCATGGACCCAAGACCCAATTGGGTCTAGCCTCTTGCTTCTCTTAGTCACTGTTATGATCCTGACTCTCTTAGTCCTGGGCCCCTTGGAGCCAGCAGATGGCTCATTGTGCGCACTGCTCCAGCTGTGGCTGCCCCCTACCCCTGTTTCAAGGACATCAATACATCCAGGAACCATATTTTTAGTGACTCTCTAGCTTCTGCCTTAGATGTCTTCATTTCAGAGTACTTGGGAGTTTTTCAGGTGTCTTTGTACTATTGATTTCCTCCTCAGTTTTATGGCCAAGAGCTTGGCATTTTTACTAACACTGTTAAGACACTATGATGTGTGTTTTTGCTATTTGGAGACACAGAGCTGTGAAGGCCTGTTGCTGGCTTCCCTGGGGTGACTGCAAAGCCGTGAACCCCTCTTTGCCGTTCTGGAAACCCAGGCAAGGCCTAGTCCCTAGCAGTGTGGCTCCCAATGGCCAATGAGGGTAGGAAGAAGAGCCAGCAGAAGGGTTGAAAGCCGCAAAGGAATGGACCACTTGGGGTGCTTACGACAGCACTGGGAGCTTTACCTTAACTCAATCCAGCAGGCCAGGCAGCAGCACCTGTCAAACAGCCACACTGGCTGAGCAGGGCTGGCAGGTCCCCACACCCATCTCAAGCAGACTCTTGAAGGGCCACCCTGAAGTAGAGGCTGTGACACAGTCCATAAAGGACTCTAGGTGCCTTTAGCCTGTGGATTTGGACCAAGCTTTGTCCTGGTGCCTGGTTGGCTCTGCAACTTCCTGGATTAGCTCTGAGTTGACCACAGGGTGGAAATGCTCCAATGATGGAGATGAAGGTTATTGGGACGTCATATCTCTACTAAATGCCATATTGTGGACTGCCGGCTCTGGTGTGGCTGGAGCTTGTGAGTAAACCAGGATTGTGGGTAATCCCTTTACCCTGTAGTCGTGACCATGTCCTGCCGCACCTACCCTGTACCACTGTCCCTAGATGTTAGGGAGGGTCTGAGACACGGTGCCATACTGGAAAATAGCTTTAGAAGCCTAGATGGAGGAGGGCCTGGGACCACCCATCCACACACAATGCCAGATAGATGTTCAGCTTCTCTGTCGCTCCAGGCCCCTCATCCTAAGCGTGTGGGCAGGCAGGGAGGGCTCCTTTGCTCCCTAAGCACTTCTGCTTCCCTCTGTTCTCTTCCTTGATGGGCCAATCAGAAGGTAGACCAGAAAGGGCTGTCCTCCTGTGGGAGGACTGGCTGGCCTGTGGCGTCAGCCAGAACTCATCAGGAAGTGCACAGCCTTCTCCAGTCCGGGAGCATCCCCACACTCGCAGAGACCCAGACTTCTGGTGTGCTCATAGCCCAGACAGCATCCCACTGGCAGGCGGCTCCCACAAGACCCTGAGGTAAGTTCAGCTAGCTTACCACTTCTGGAAGGTGGGTGGAGCCTGTGGCGACTCTGCTGGGACTCTCCTGGAGCTTATACCCAGCAGTCAGTCAGTCAGTGCCTACCGTCAGGGGGCCTCCATTCTCCTCCAGTGCTGGGACTGTGGGGCTGGAATGGCAGGCAATTGGCCCAAGGTTCCGAGGAATGTCCCCTGGGTCAGCAAGAAGGTGCCACAGGGCGCTGAGAAGTGCTTCTGAAGGTGGCCATGGCTAGAGCTAGGGAGCCAGCTTCTCTGGGCAGGATCGCAGTGTTTTCCAAGAGCTAGAGACTGGGCTGCCTTCACTCAGCCCTGGAGTCAATGAAGCCACTCACTAAGACGTCACCTGTCCACGGTAGAAACAGTGGGTAGTCCCACATGAGTTATCCCCCTGTGAACAACTGACCTGGTTGATCCCCAACATGTGGCCAGAAGCCAGAGGTCATATGGAACAGAAAAGCACAGGGTTTGCTGGTGCCCAGCTCCCGAAAACCTGGAGGGGAGTCATAGCAGATGTCTGGAGACTGGATGGCATTGCCTGCCCTTCCCGTGTACCCAGCCTGGTAGGGAGAGAGAGATATTTCTATGACCAACCCTCACTTGTCCTCCCGGAATAGCTTCATGTCACAGGCAGCTGCCAGGGGGCGGTTGCATCACTGGCTGGGTACAACGGAAGGCTTGAAGGACACGGGGGCCTGTCAGAATGAGGAAGTCACACACAGGCCTGGCTCCCTGGCAGAGTGAGAAAGCCTCCAACCAACCTGCCTCTCAGCCTCAATCTGGACACTAGCCAGCCAGAGTCCATGCCACCCAAGAAGGTGCCATGTAGGACGGCTACAAGGGCCAAAAACTCCTCCGTACACTCATCTACCTTCAGGGAGTACCAGAGCACCTTAAGAGAAGAGGGCAGAAGCTAGTGGCAGCCAGTGTACAAGGAGTTTTCTCTTAGACCCAACCTGTCCCTTCCCTGACATAGCCAGGTGACTCAGGAAGAAAGCTTGGGGTGACAGGGGCAGACAGCTGCTTGGGGAAGGTGAGCTTGACAGAGTGGCCTGAGAAGGGGCTGTCTGTGTACCTCAGCTATCCCTCAGAAACCATGGAACAAGGATGAGGGTGAGCCCTCAAATTTCCCTAGCATGAGTGGCTATGTCCCTGTCCAAAGCTGCGGCCTGGCACTCACAGGCCTGGGTCTATTGTAGGCTGACTGCTGCAGACCCAGCAGGGAACAGGAGGTGGGCGCTTCCTCCGCTGCACGTCAGCACCGCCCACAGGGGACATGTCAGACTACGAGAATGACGACGAGTGCTGGAGTGCCCTGGAGAGCTTCCGGGTGAAGCTCATCTCTGTAATCGACCCCTCACGGATCACACCCTACCTGCGCCAGTGCAAAGTCCTGAACCCTGATGACGAGGAGCAGGTGCTCAGTGACCCCAACCTGGTCATCCGCAAGCGGAAAGTGGGTGAGGGCTGCTCCCGTGCCAGCAGGCCCAGCCCGAGTCCCTCATGATCCCTACAAGACACGTGGCCAGAGGTTGCCCTAACCTTGTCCCCACCCAGCTCCACCTCCACGTGGGATGTATGAGCGATAGAGCGTCCACTCCCCTCGTCATTCAGGCTTACCTGGGGCCACCCAGAAGGAAGAGGAGTTCTCACCATTGTTCAGGCCCTGAGAGGACCGCGAGAGTGAAGGCAGCACCCTGCCCTGCCTAGACTGAGTCCCACAGGGTGCCTTATGTGATGGCCCAGAAGTGAGGGGTGGGGGTTACACAGCTTGGGATCTCTACCCAGAGCAGTCCTCCACCGTCTCACCTGGACCCCAGAGTGTCTACCTACCCGGACGTTGGCCTTGACCCCGTCTCTTCCACCTGTAGGCGTGCTCCTGGACATCCTGCAGCGGACAGGCCACAAGGGCTATGTAGCCTTCCTTGAGAGTCTGGAACTCTACTACCCGCAGTTATACAGGAAAGTCACTGGCAAGGAGCCAGCACGTGTCTTCTCCATGATCATTGGTGAGAGGCACAAGAGGGTTGGTGCTGTGGGCGGAGTCAGGTGCCACTGGGTCCCGGCTTCTGTGGTTGCATAGAGTGAATGAGTCTGACACAAGCCCTACGGTGTATATCAGGGTAGTGGTACCGAGTGACTGCTCTCAGCTGCTCAGGGTCAGGGCTCTGGCTTGTTGAGGTCCTGCTGGTCTCCAGAAAGAGAACCTTTCTTTGCTTTTCCCATCTTAAGAATAGTCACTAAGAAGCAGAGACCCCTCAGAAGTGCCATTTCCATCGGACCCACTAATCACCTAAGGGCAAAATCCTGCAGTTTCTAGAGGGGACAGAAGTGTCGTCTCCTGATAGGGTAGCCACATCCCTATCGGTCCTCATTTATCTCATAAAGACCATTATAAAAGTAGAGAGCCAGGCCAGGCGGTGGTGGCGCACGCCTTTAATCCCAGCACTCGGGAGGCAGAGGCAGGCGGATCTCTGTGAGTTCAAGACCAGCCTGGTCTACAAGAGCTAGTTCCAGGACAGACTCCAAAACCACAGAGAGACCCTGTCTCGAAAAACCAAAAAAAAAAAAAAAAAAAAAGTAGAGAGTCAGGCATGGTGGCACACACCTTTAATCCCAGCACACTCTGGAGGGAAAGGCAGGCAGATCTCTGAGTTAGAGGCCAGCCTGGACTACATAGTGAGACATTGACTCAGGGAGAGAGAGAGAGAGAGAGAGAGAGAGAGAGAGAGAGAGAGAGAGAGAGAGAGAGAGAGAGAGAGCGCGAGCGAGCGCGAGCGAGCGAGCAACTGGCACATGAATGGTCCTAGTCAGGTCATCTGTGAGGGGTGGCAAGGCAGACTGGGCCTAGTGAACACACTCATCCTGAGGGAGCTTTCCCGCCAGCTTTCTCTCTGCGGGTGACCAGCACTGCTCCCTCTGCCCCCACACTGCTGGTCTTCAAGCACACACTCCTGGAGGACAAGAACAGGGTCTGCAGGTGATAGCCACAGGCTCCATCTGACACTGCATGGTCCCCAGATGCATCAGGGGAGTCGGGCCTGACGCAGCTGCTGATGACAGAGGTCATGAAGCTGCAGAAGAAGGTTCAGGACCTGACGGCACTCCTGAACTCCAAGGACGACTTCATCAAGGAGCTACGGCTGAAGGACAGCCTTCTGCGGAAACACCAGGAGCGCGTCCAGCGGCTCAAGGAAGAGTGCGAGCTGAGCAGCCGAGAGCTGAAGCGTTGCAAGGATGAGAACTACGACCTGGCCAAGCGCCTAGCGCATCTCAGTGAAGAGAAGGGCTCCGCACTCATGCGCAACCGCGACCTGCAGCTTGAGGTGATCGCTGGCCCCATCTGCAGGAGAGTGGGGTCTGGAGGAACCTGCCACTCACTGACTGGACCTCCCACAGGTGGACCGGCTCAGGCACAGCCTCATGAAGGCGGAGGATGACTGCAAGGTGGAGCGGAAACACACGCTGAAGCTCAGGCACGCCATGGAGCAGCGGCCTAGCCAGGAGCTGATGTGGGAGCTGCAGCAGGAAAAGGACCTGTTGCAGGCCCGGGTGCAAGAGTTGGAGGTCTCTGTACAGGTAGGGCTACCAGCAGCGCACACCAGGCTTCATTTCTGCGGGGGGCTTCAAGCGGGGCACACCAGGTGGTACAACTGCAGTGGCCAGGCTTGTTGCCCTCTGCCACCTCCAGGAGGGGAAGCTGGACAGGACCAGCCCCTACATTCAAGTGCTGGAGGAGGACTGGCGCCAGGCCCTGAAGGAGCACCAGGAGCAGGCCAACACTATCTTCTTCCTACGCAAGGACCTCCGCCAGGCTGAGGCCCTCCGGATCCGGGTGAGAGACCAGGACAGGCAAGCGATGCCCACTGGGTACGCGGAAGGTGGGGTCTGGGATCTACCTCACCATCTCCCCTTCACCAATTCCTGGTGCACGGTCATGTCGTGTCCACAGCTAGGGTCACCCTTTGGGTTACAATGTGACCAGTGGTGGCTGAGGCCATGGGCTCAGACCAAGCTGGCCGACTGTAGCCTGGGACTCCAGTGGCCCTTCCCATCATCCCAGCTAGCCTGATCTTGTGTACTCTGGAGCTGTTGTCCTGAGTCCAGCCCAGGGGTCGAGTGGGCAGTGGAGAGAGGGTGAGGCTGAGTGGTGCTTCCTGTAGTGCATGGAGGAAAGGGAGCTGTTCGAGCTGCAGTGCCAGGCCTTGCGCAAGGACGCCAAGATGTACAAGGACCGGATCGAGGCTATCCTGCAGCAGATGGAAGAGGTCTCCATTGAGCGGGACCAGGTAGGTGCCACGTTTGTGTTCAGAAGATGAGAGCGAGAGACATGTTGGGGTGCCGGCGTAGCCGCTTTTGGAGCTGTGGTCAAAGCAGCTTTTGTTTGTTTACTCTTGAGGTAACTTTATTGAAAGGTAGGATCTGGGGCCTCTCGTACAAACACAGGAAAGTCTGTCTTTCTCACAGAAAGAACTTATGAAACAGGGGAGTCCCAGTGCCCCTTGTGCTGGTTAGGGTAAGGATGAAGTTGGAGACTTCAGTAGGGGAGAGGAAGTTGCTAGCTGCACAAGTGGGGGGTGGAGGGCAGGGCATTGGGTAGGAAGAGCTGGTGGTAGCTCCCTGGCATAGGCAGTAATAGTAGTAGCTCAAACCTGCAATTCTAGCACTTGGAAGTTAAGACAAAATAATTACTGTGAGTTTAAGGCCAGCCTGGATTACACAGTGAGTTCCGAGCCAGTTTGGGCTACAATGGGAGACCTTGTCTCAAAAAGCCAAAAAACAACAAAAAGTAGTAGCAACTGAGCCAGGTTTGGTGGCACATGCCTGTATCCCAGGCTTTGTAGTGGCAGGAGGATCAGAAATTCAAGGCCATCCTCAGCTATGTAGTAAATTTTAGGCCAGCTTGGGATAATGAAACTTTCTCCCAGGAAACAAAAGAAAAAGCATGGTGTTGGTTTTTTTGTTTGTTTGTTTTTTCTTCAAGACAGGGTTTCTCTGTGGCTTTGGAGACTGTCCTGGAACTAGCTCTGTAGACCAGGCTGGCCTCGAACTCACAGAGATCCGCCTGCCTCTGCCTCCCGAGTGCTGGGATTAAAGGCGTGCGCCACCATTGCCCGGCTCATGGTGTTCATTTTAAGAAGAGTCATCAATCATGTTCTTTTCTTTCTTTCTTTCTTTCTTTCTTCCTTCCTTTTTTTCAAGACAAGGCTTCTCTGTATACTCCTGACTGTCCTGGAACTCACTCTGTAGTACAGGCTGGTCTTGAACTCACAGACCTCTGTCTGTCTCTCTTGCTGGGATTAAAGGTGTGTGCCGCCACCACCAAGCATTGATCATGTTCTTGATGTCAAGCTGCATCCAGGATTTACAAAAAAATGCCACATGGGTGGGACAGAGACACATACTATCTACTAGGGATGTATGATGCCTCAGTTGGACTTCCCTAGGGACAGCCTTGAGCATTGATCACAGAGAGTTTTACTTTTTTGTTTGTTTTGTGTCTTTTTGTTTTTTTTCGAGACAGGGTTTCTTTTTTTAAATATTTATTTATTTATTATGTATACAATATTCTGTCTGTGTGTATGTCTGCTGGCCAGAAGAGGGCACCAGTCCTCATTACAGATGGTTGTGAGCCACCATGTGGTTGCCGGGAATTGAACTCAGGACCTCTGGAAGAACAGGCAATGCTCTTAACCACTGAGCCATCTCTCCAGCCCCTCGAGCCAGGGTTTCTTTGTAGCTTTGGAGCCTGTCCTGTAACTAGCTCTTGTAGACCAGGCTGGCCTTGTACTCACGGAGATCCGCCTGCCTCTGCCTCCCGAGTGCTGTAATTAACGGCGTGAGCCACCATCATTCGGCTTACTTTTAAAATTAATTTTATTTATTTATTTTTTATTGTTTTGAGACAGTGTCTCATGTAGTCTTGCCTCAAACTCAAACTATGTCCAAAAAGGACCTTGAACTACTCCCAAGGATGCTGGGCATGTGTTACCCCACCCAATGTCTGTTCCTTTGTACTGAGAGCCCTGGCCACTTTGAGAATCCCTCCAGTTCAGCAACTCCAACTGCTCTCAACAGGGTGGCTGACATCCAGCCGGGGACCTTTGGTAGAGGCTGGTGTCTCAACTGCCAAATAAAAGCCAAGAGCCTCACTGGTCAGGTCTCTTGCTCCTCCTATCCCTACAGGCTATGACCTCGAGGGAAGAACTGCACGCACAGTGTGCCCAGAGCTTTCAGGAGAAGGATGAGCTGCGAAAGCAGGTTCGAGAGCTGAGCGAGAAGGCAGACGAGCTCCAGCTGCAGCTGTTCCAGAGCGAGGGCCGGTTACTGGCCGCTGAGGGCAGGCTCAAACAGCAACAGCTGGACATGCTCATCCTGGTAGGTCCTACGTCTGGTCTACCTGGGGAGGTCTGAGCAATGAGGGAGCTGAGGAGGACCGGGCTCAGGACAAGACTCCAAGAGGGATCATCAGCCTAGGGGCATCCCCAATCCTAGCCTGGCATGGCTGGTGCCCTGCTTGTGGCTTCCAGAAATGCCTGGATCTTCCTGAATCCCTTTTCCTCTTTGGAGCTCATGCTGGAATGACAGACTTAGATGTAACTCAAGGTCCAGTCAGCACACAGGGGCTTTTGGACAGTGGCCTTGACCGAGGCGTAACCTTCACGTGGCTTGGCGGGGTCGCTTTAAAGAAAGGCAGATGTTCTGGTCAGGGTCCTGAGGAGATGGGTAGCATGACTCAGATACACTCAGGGCCTCCCTAGAGGGTGGGGCTGAGATGGGGCCCTCCCTATGCCCTGCACGCCCCATGTCCAGGTGCTTAGAACCCCTGTAGCGCACTGACCCATTTCCTTTTCTGTGGCCACAGAGCTCTGACTTGGAGGATACTTCACCCAGGAACTCCCAGGAAGTGAGTGCAATCCAACGGGTGGGCACAGAGTGGGCCTCTCCCTGGCCTCCAACCTCCCTCTGGCCCCACAATCATCTCCCACGTGGTCCTGTCCACCCGAACTGGACTGTCCATTCTCTCCCACTTTGGGCTGGTTACAGGGAAGACAACTGGCCAAACTCTGGGGCCGTTGTGAGCAAAGTGGGGCGCAGTCCAATGCCCACATCCTGGCCTCTTAGGACAGGAACTTCATGCTTCCCTTTACCCGTGGGCCCGACTGGGACTGAGCCCCAAAGACCTCTATACAGATCAAGTGGGCAGTGGGGGAGGCCATATCTAGTCCTGGAAGAGCAATGGTGGCTTGTAGCATGGATGGCCTAACTGGGTGGCATGTCTCTGTCTGGAAGCTCTCACTGTCTCAGGACCTGGAGGAGGAAACCCAGCTCTCAGACAAAGGTGAGCAGGTGGGGGGTACCAGGCACCGCCAGACCCTCCCCCCTAGCCCAGAGGCACCTGGGCTAGAGTCTTCTGGGCCTCCCAGAACCCTGGCCCATCCTCAGCACACAAAGCTGTGTGACTTACTCTGTCTCAGTAGTCACAGCACTCCAAGGACAGAGAAGTCCGAGGCAGGGAGTGGCAGTAGTGAAGGACTAAATGTTTAGGCTCACACACTCTGAGAATAAGGAATCTGATTTGAACATGGGGCTTAGGTCTCAGGGTCTGTGGTTCAGACGGCAGTGAGTGTGGAGCCCCCATCCTGCCTAGGCCCATCTTTCCCTACCAGCCATCCCCCTGCAGAGGGATCGAATAGCCAGCATCCAGGTGTTCTCAATGAGGAAGTAAGGAATGGCGCTATAGATAGGGCAGCAAGCAAGGAGATGGGGTGTATGCTACCACAGTAGCAGGCTGCTAGACAGGACCCTCCTCTGGTCTGATGGTTGGCTCGTTAGTCCTGGGGATGGCAGTGGGGGATGAGAACAGAGTGTCCTGAAGTAGCTGAAGATGGGAGGTGGGGGGGGGGAAGGATGTCTGGTGCAGGAAGGAGCCCTGAGAGCTTTCTTGAGAAGTCAAATAGACTTCCTCAGCTCAGCCTCAGCCCAGGCTCTCACCAGAGGCAAAAGGGGAACAAGTGGTGCGGATGGAGAAGTATGGAGGTGGGTCACCCACTGCAGCCCCCAAGACCCAACTTTAGGCCACTGAGCTCCATGTGGGCACAAAAGAAAGAAAACCCAAGAACAGCCAGCTCCCTGCAAGGCATGCCAGGAGTTAGGCACCATGAAAGTGAGAGGGGAAGGAGGTGGGTCTGCTGGTTGCTCTCACATCCTGAGTCCTCCTTGGATATAACTGTTTCTTGATGTTCATAGCCCTCCTTGGACATCTGCCTGGAAGCTTGAGCCTTGCTCTGCCCAGGACCTTGGGCATGCTGGGTCTGGTCTAACTAATATAGTGCACTTGCTCTCACCTTCAGAAGTCCTGAGCTCTCCACTGAGGCTGCTCCCACCCCACCCATGGGAACCACTAAGCACATAAATGTTGCCAAGCCAACAGGGACATGGCTTAGGACATGCTTGAGCAAACTGTCCTGGGGACCAGGAGTCTTTCCTACCCCTCCATCCTTGTATGTTTTGTGACAGTCAGCTTGGAAGGTTGGGTGGGTGATGGTAGGAGCCCTGTTGAGAGCTCCTGCAGCCTAGGGCTGTCTCAGCCTGTCTGGAAAATGCAGTCTCCACTGGCCTGGGCTAGTGCTAGCTGCATTGTTAGCAGAGGGGGGTAGTGGCCATGCTGGATGGGCACCCCACAAGCACAGCTCTTCCTTTCAGGTGTCCTGGCAGACAGAGAGAGCCCAGAGCAGCCCTTTGTGACTCAGAGCAAGGAGCCGCTTTCACAAACCCATGTAAGGCTGACTGGGGCCCCCAGAGTCCTGGTGACTCGATGGCTGATCTTGGGGAAGAAGGTGACTCTACCTGTACCCCCCGAACAGCTGCGGATCACAAGGTCTCTGCAGTGCATGCATGGGGTGTAACGTTTGGCTAGTGTTTGGTACATGAAGTGGAGCCCCTCTTTGTGCACAGAACCCTAGATGATGTGGGGTGCTTGGATGGGGTGGGACAACAACGAAAGGACACCCCTATAGCTGTCCACGGAGAGGAAGTGTAACAGGCTTTCTCTGGGTTGCCAACCAGCTCCCGAATGACACGGAAACTTATTATTAGTTATGAATGCTCGGCCTTATCTTATGTTTGTCCCACTAGCTCTTATCATTTAATTTAACCTGTTTCTCTTCATCTACGTTTTGCCTCGGGGCTTGTAACCTTTCTTTCATTCTGTATGCCCTATTTTTCCTGCTTCTTCTGTGTCTGTCTGTCTGGCAGCTGCCTGTCTGTCTGTCTTTCTCCCTCACTCTCTTCTCTCTCAAGTCTAGATTCCTCCTCCTACTTATTCTCTCTCCCTGCCAGCCCCACCTATCCCTCTAATGTCTAGCTATTGGCCGTTCAGCTTTTTATTACATCAATTAGGTAGGTGCCTTAGGTAGACAAGGTAAAGCAGCAACACATCTTTATATAACTTGACAAATTTAGCATAAACAAAAGCAACACACCTTTACATAGTTAAAGTAATATTCCACACCATAAACAAACGTTAACACATCTTTACATAGTTAAAGTAATATTCCACAACAAAGAAGTCATCTAGTCAGTCTGGCTAAAAGGGGTAGTTCCCCCATGCTCGCTCATCTTAGAGTCTATCAGGCCCCGCAGACAGCTGGCTCAGCTTCACACTTGCTAGAGTCTCCGGGCGCCCTGGGAAGGCCACAGTGTCTAGCTGCCGACCCCGTTCCTTCTGCAGGGCATGGGGCCCAGCAGCAGCGAACCCCCGGAGAAGGAGCGGCGGCGCCTCAAGGAGAGCTTCGAGAACTACCGCAGGTGTGGGGCGGCGGGCAGGACGACCTGGAAGGGTGGGACACTGGCGTGTACCTGCTCACACTGCGGGTCCCATAGGAAACGGGCGCTCCGCAAGATGCAGAACAGCTGGCGACAGGACGAGGGGGACCGCGAGAACACCACTGGCAGCGACAATACCGACACCGAGGGCTCCTAGCGGGCCGCACCGAGGCCGAGCATCTGTGTAAATGTGAAGGGATGCTGCATTTTTTTTACTGTATGCTACACATGTGTTGTACAAGTGTTGGAAAATACAGCTAAATAAAATGACCATCAAGCCGAACCTATTGGGTGGATGTGCACTCGGAGGGACACCAGGGGGCGACAGAGGGCAGAGCGCCGGGCGGCTACGGAAGCCGAAGAGGGTCGCTTCCGGCCGTGGCGCCTATTTCCAACTCTGTCGCCGAGGACCGCGGACGGGATGTTGCGGACAGCACTGAACCGCGTGCCTACACTACTGCGTAGTGTGCGGACCCGGAATCCCGGGCCGGGACGACTTTGGGATGCGGGGACTCGCCTGACGTCCGTGGAGAGACGACGGGGCTGGCCCTGGGGCTGGAGGAGTTCGAGCTCCGCGCCAGAACCCGAGCCTGTGGCCGCGCTGGGGCGCGTCGAGCCGAGCCACTACCAGCTCCACTACACCTGCAAGGTAGGCGCGGCCGAGAGAACCTGGCGCTGGTTCACTTCCTGAAGGAGCATGGTTCTCAGAGAAGGGACTGGAAGTAACCTTCGGGCCGGGGAGGGGACGGGGTCTTCCGCGGGAGGGCTGGGAAGGGATGGAGCCATCTTTGAGGGATAGAGGCTTCCAGGGATGGGGAAGGTTACCTGGAGACAGGCGTTCTGGGTAGGAAGTAACTGGGACCTCTCCTAGGTGGGACCCTCTGGGACAGAGTTGGGGCTGTCCCGCCAGGGTGGTTAGCCCTCGGGAGGGGGCTTTCTTGTGTGTACCTGGCCTGACCACCTCTCTAACCCAACTAGGTCTGTGGGACTCGGTCATCCCAGCGCATCTCAAAGTCGGCCTATCACAAAACTGTAGTCATCGTTAAGTGCCCTGGTTGCCAGAACAACCACGTCATCGCCGACAACCTAGGCTGGTTCTCTGACTTGCAGGGGAAGAGGTAAGGCCAGCTGGGAGGGATAGGAGTCAGTAGGATTGTGTGTTATGGATTAAGTAAAATGCGGATCCCTGGCAGCTGCAGGACCCCAGCAGCCAGGGGAGGGAGGGGGGAAAGGGAGAAGGGGAGAAAAGTGGGGAGAGACAGAAGCTGCCTCTTTGAGAGGGAGACAGAAAAAGGAAGAGACTCAGGCTGCAAGCAAGAAGGAAGATCTGCCTGCCTCAGCCGACTGGAGAGGGAGTGGGCATGGCTTGTCTCTTTTTTTAAAGATATTTATTTATTCATTTATTTATGCAGTATCCTGCCTGTAGGCCAGAAGAGAGCACCAGATCTCATTATAGGTTGTTGTGAGCCACCATGTGGTTGCTGGGAATTGAACTCAGGACCTCTGGAAGAGCAGTCAGTGCTCTTAACCACTGAGCCATCTCTCTAGCCCCTGGCTTGTCTCTTAAAGGGACAGGATAGATCATTACATTGTGGCCCTTCAGGAGGAGCCTTGCCTGGCTTCATTAGACAGCCCAGCTTCCATGTGGATCTAGAAACTTGAATTTGAACTTCAGATAAACCACGAATAATCCCCAAGTGTGGCAAACTATATCTCTAGTTCCGTGGCTCCACCTCTGCCACTGCCTGACCTCCTATGGCCTTTTCATTTTCTTTCTTTAAATATTTATTTATTTTAAATATGAGTGCTCTATCTGTGTGTACAACTTTATGCCAGAAGAGGGCATCAGATTCCACTATAAGACACTTGTGAGCCACCCTGTGGTTGTTGGGAATTGAGTTTAGGACCTCTGGAAGAGCAGTCAGTGCACTTAACCATTGAGCCATCTGTCCAGCCTGCCTTTTCACCTTTTTTTTTTTTCATTTTTACTTTCTTTTTTGGGGGGATGAGGGTTTTTAAGACAGGGTTTCTCTGTAGCTTTGGAACCTGTCCTGGAACTAGCTCTTATAGGCCAACCTGGCCTCGAACTCACAGATCCACCTGCTTCTGCCTCCTGAGTACTGAGATTAAAGGTGTGTGCCACTACTGCCTGGCTGCATTTTTACTTTCTTTCTTTTTTTTAAATTGATATTTATTGAGCTCTACGTTTTTCTCTGCTCCCCTCCCTTCCTCTCCCCTCCCCCCCCCTCAGCCCTCCCCCAAGGTCCCCATGCTCCCAATTTACTCAGGAGATCTTGTCTTTTTCTACTT